TTCAAACGAAAGAATGTCAAATGATTAGGAGGAAATGATCCTAATCAAGAAAAATCGAATTGGATCCCATAAAATATGTAATTAAAATTAATTATTAATTTTGACTAAAAATTTTAATTTGCACTGAACATGGGCAAAATAATTAGCGATACCTTTTTCCCCTCGAATCCGTTGTAGGAAATGAATAATTGCAACTTCGAGTCGAGAGGTTTCCCGTTCATTTCTTGTTCAATTTCAATATTACACATCGACATCTTGATTTGTTCTATTAGATTAGGGTTTTTCAAATTTCTTATTTTAAACCTGAATTTTCTTCATCAAGATTTACTGCATTTGAAGCTAGATCAAAGACCATGTCCCCACATCCTATTTGACGTATTGAGGCCATGCATTGTTTGAAGGCAATTCTGACTTTTCATTCCAACAGACAGGTGCACGATGCACCCTCATTGAATACATTTCAACCCCCCATTCTACCCCACAATTTTTGTACACCGTTCCCAACCGTCAAATTGCAACAATTATGTGTAGTACGTAATTACTTCGTAACCTACACATCGGCCAACTGCATCGATCGCGATACTTTCCACACACACTTGCACGATACGTTCGCATTACAACCTTAAAGTGGAACAATAGTCAAAATCGGACCGAATTGTAATGTAAAATTCAACATACCTATAACTGTCACGAAAAGCAAATATATATATTGCAAGAAAACAGTAATGTCAAATGTTTCACTTCATCTATGTAGTTTCACCTACTTAAAGCCAATTCAAAAGGGTACTACTTACTGAGTCAATACCCGAACCACCACCCTAGCCATGTGCTAAGTACATGTGGTTCATGTTCATCCACCTTCGGCCGAAGCCAAGTTGGCTCTCGATGCTCCTACCACCTTGGCAAGGGTTGGCTTAGCACGCGGTTCGTTCTTGACTCACCCCAATTCAGCAGAGTCCCACACTTCAAGAAGACACAAATCAAGGCCACACCATATAAGAGATAAAAACACAAGCAAAATACAAACAAGCTTCTAGATCAGATTAATTTTATTGTTGTTGTGAATAAAAATCCGCGACCACGATCAACTTTCACAGTGAAGAGCAGACTTGATTTTCTGCACGGTGCAAGAGATGAGATTATTGACGGTCTCTACAGATTCCACCGTGAGCTTGGCCGTAGGGAGGCTGTTAACCAAGATTTGGAAGGCTACCGTCAATAATGATCCGCTTACTCTCTGGTTTGGATCCCTGTTGCTAGGGGGCCCATGGGACCCAGACCCATCAGGTACGATAGCAAACCCCGAAGGAAGCAGGGCAACGTAAGTAGAATCTCCACCGTTCATCACCACGTGCATTGCTGGAATGTCAACGGGTGCATACACAGCAAGCGACCCTGCCTCGTCTATACATGTCTCCTGGAGTATAAGCATGCTACTCTGGTTCTCATTTGTCGCCTGCAAAATTTCAGCCCTCAAATTTTCACATATTTATATGAATTTTTACCATTGTATCTGAAAAGATCAATGTTGTGACAATGCAACTAAGTTACCACTGCTATGACTTCTCTATAAAAAATAGTGGCTTCAGTGGACCCATATAAACTGGACAGTATCATGTTTTGACGTTTATAGTACAGAAAAATCGTAGATGCTTCCAAATTCCAATTTTGTGCTTTACAATCCCCCAAGTCTTTTTAGAGTACTCTAGACTAGGAACCAAGTGTAATAGCCATAATTTTTGTCACTACACATTCAATAGTTCTTGGGAAATTGTGACAAATAAGAACGATGATGAACAGGAAAAACTCGACTTGAGGCATGTCATGTATACAATGTATGTTATAGCAGCACGTGTGAGGGAGATGCAAAGAGTAGAAATAATGAATAAAAAGATATGATAAAATCAAATTGACTTACGTAAACTTTGCTAAGTTATCGTAAATAGATTCAACTTGTTAAATGCATGCAAACGTAAGTTATATAATAGAAAATGTATAAGGGTGAAAATAACAAATAAAAAGTAAGATGGAATAAAAAGCTTGATGTGTAGAAGAGGAGAGAATGGGACTTACACTTGCTCTCAGGAGGGAGACGCAATTACCATGAACTTGACCTTTAGCAATGTGGGCCATTTCTTGCATGGGGCCGCCATTGGATAGGATGTCCCACTCGCTTCTAAGGTGTTCATCACGAAGGAAATCAAAGAGTCTTTGAGGGGATACCGGTAACCAGACCGATGTTGCAGCACTCAGAACAATGCCAGGGGGCTCTCCAGGGTCGTCCACACTCTTTCGGGTCATGATTCGGACATCTTCACCCACATTGCCAATACAAAGGTTGTTCCATTTGTGAGCAGTGGAAACACACACTCCAGCACAAAAGCTGTTGGTCATTCGTTGTGCTAGCTTCAACATGCTTCTTCGCCCACTTGCAGTAATGGCTACAGGCAGAAGAAAGTGAGGTTTTCTTCACCCAATAAGACCCTTAAAATGATTGATCATCTTGGTTAATTTTTTTTTAAAATAAATTTGGGACTAAGATTTACCGTCATGATTCCTTGTGGGCACAGCAGATGACATGAGAATGGCAAGACATTCGCATTGTCTTTGGAGGGTAGCTATCCACCTTTGGGCACCGAATCCCATGCCAGCACTTATCAAAGGACGGTAAAGATGATGAATTACGCTCTCATCATATTCTGCATGTTCTACCCACGTAACCTAAACATCAAACGACAAATGAGTTTCTAACATAACAAAACCAGTTTCCCCATCAAGTGTTAATTAGAGTGTTCTTGTTTTGCATAGAACCTTTGAAGAACAAGTCCTTATTTTCTACTTTAATTTTTGATATTTATGCTAGATATAGTTTTATTTATATATCAAACTTAATTAATAGATAAAAACAATTTATTAGACTGACCCAAGTTTTCCATTTTTTCTTTTTATTTTTTCATCAATAATTCCCCAGTTAATCGCGATCGTCAAACCTTCAATTTATCTGTAGCTCCCATCTTCCCCGGTATCTTAAAGCCATTTCAGGAGTCTAAGATGCTCTTATCTCTACTTTTAATTGAATTATGGAACTTTCTGGTTAATATTTATGACATAAAATACCAAAGAAAGCATGCAAAAACTTCTTCTAATTTCCCTTTCTTAATTGCAAAATGTGACACCACAAACTGAAAATGAGAGTCAAGAAGCACCACATATTGAATGGAAGTACTCAAAGAAGAACCCTAGTCCAATCCAACAGTATAAAAATATTAAGATTTGCAGGCACGAGGTGGAGTGTGGAGGGGATCAGAGAAATGTACTTGAGTCAAATCAAAGAGACTAAGATGCTCACGTGAGTCTCGGCTGATTGAGTGAAAAAACAGACACGGAACCAGGTAATACACAGATATATAAATTTAATATAGGCCACGGGTGCTGATCGAGACAATTCACAGATTGGAATAGAAACATCAAATCCATAGTTTTATTCTACCAATGTTGAAGAAAATTATCATCAAGTTATTAATGTGCTTTAAGGATTAAAAAATACATTTTCTTAACCTCGAATCAAGTGTTTTAATTAGCTAATATAATACTAATTAAGNTACTCTTATTTTAGCTATTAATTAAACATTCGGATTGGTTGCTAGTAAATGCATTTTTAATATGATATAATTAATGATATTTCAGAACTAATTCAATGTTCAAATAATTGTTTATCAATCTTAATTAATAAAATAAACTCTTAACTTTGTTACAAGAAAAATGTGTTAAATTGTTATGAGATTAGGAATAAGATTTATGTGAGTTTTATGAAAGAAAAGCCTAATAAAATAGGAGATTTGGTTTTTCAAACACCTTATGGATATTTTAAAAAGTATAAAATATTGCGTAAAGTTAAATGAGACATTTTTAAAAATCACTTTTTAATACAATAAAAAATAAATGACATATAAAAATTTTTTATAAGTAAATTGAAAGCTTAGCTAAAGATATATTATTCATTTAGAAATTGATTGTATGTGACATCTTAATTAAAAGGTGACACAACATGTCATGTCACTTTTTAATTAAAAAATCGCAAATCACGTAACTTGACTTTAATAAAATTGTTGACAAGAAGAACATTATTCTATAATATTAAAGAGTATAGTTAACTTTTCCAATCAAAATTTTACGGTGATAATCAAGTCCACATTCCGAAACCATTGTAAGAGTCCTTGACATATAATTTTTAAATACAACTAAAATAGAAAGACTCCTACAAAATTATAATAGAAGTTGTACCGAAGCTCAATATACAAGAACTAATACAATTAACTCTTCAAAACTTATTATAAACCACAAGATAGTAAAGTTCATTTTTTTATGCTCAAATCCAAAAAAGCTCTATTGGTAAGAATAAGCCATCAAGAAAATAATCAGTACAATCTACTGCTCTACAATTTCCCAATAAAATGCCACTCTATATCATCTAGAGGCTGCAATTGACTAAAACAATATCTTCAGATTTTAGACAATTAGTAAATAACACTAACATGATAAAAGTAGTTCTTCTTCTTATATTTCATTTACTAAAAAAA